AAGCTGTCACAGGCTGTCACGAGGGGTGGCGAGGGGTGACAAGCTGTGACAGGCTGTCACGAGGGGTGACAAGCGGTGAGAAGCTGCCACAGGCTGTCACAAGGGGTGACAAGGTATCACAGGCTGTCACGAGGGGTGACAAGCGGTGACAAGCTGACAAGCTGTCACAAGGGGTTACAGTTGGTGCCAAGGAGTGACAAGCTGTCATCGGCTGTCAAAAGTGGTGACGAGGGATGACAAGCCGTCAGGCAGTCACAAGGGGTGACAAGCGGTGACAAGGGGTGACAAGCGGTGACGGGATGACAAGCTGTCAGGCTGTCACAAGGGGTGACAAGGGGTGACAGGCAGTCACAAGGGGTGACAAGCGGTGACAAGGGGTGACAAGCGGTGACGGGATGACAAGCTGTCAGGCTGTCACAAGGGGTCACAAGGGGTGACAGGCAGTCACAAGGGGTGACAAGCTGTCACAAGCTTGCCGCAAGCTGTAACTCGGTCACCCCCGGCCCGCACACTTGCGTTCTTGCACACAGAGTCTCGCTCTGTCGCCCGGGCCGCAGTGAGCGCCGTGGCGTCAGCCTCGCTCACGGCAGCCTCCGACTCCCGGCCTCCAGCAAGCCTCCCTCCTCGGCCTCCCACAGTGCCGGGACGGCAGGCACGCGCCTCCTCCGCGCCCGGCCTGGCATTCCTTCCCGCAGTTGGGGGTCCCCCTCTCTGAGCGGGGTCCCGGCGTCCCACGCGCCGCGCGGTCTCTGTCCCCCAGACCATCCTGCCGGCCGCGGCCCAGGACGTGTACTACCGCGACGAGATCGGCAACGTGTCCACCAGCCACCTGCACGTGCTGGACGACTCGGTCGAGATGGAGATCCGGCCTCGGTTTCCCCTCTTCGGCGGCTGGAAGACGCACTACGTCATCGGCTACAACCTGCCCAGCTACGAGTACCTCTACTGCCTGGGTGCGTCCCCACGCGGCGACACGCCGCCCCCGCCGGGTGTTGTGTTTTTGTTTTGTTTCGTTTTGTTGTTTAGTCTTGTTTTATTTTTTGTTTTGTTTTGATTTTTTATCTAGTTTTCTTTCTGTTTTGTTTCTTTATTGTTTTGTTTTGCTTGTTTTGTTTCTTTTGTTTTGTTTTTTGTTTTCTTTATTGTTTTGTTTCTTTATTTTGTTTTGTTTTTGTTTTGTTTTGTTTTGCTTTTTTGTTTTGTTGTGATTTTTTGTTTTGTTTCTTTATTTTGTTTGTTTCTTTTGTGTCTTTGTTTTGTTTCTTTGTTTTTTTTTTGTTGTGATTTTTGTTTTGTTTATTTTGTTTTGTTTTTTGTTTTGTTTTCTTTCTTTGTTTTGTTTTCTTTATTGTTTTTTTTTTTTATATATATATCAGTTGGCCAATTAATTTCTTTCTATTTATAGTAGAGACGGGGTCTCACTCTTGCTCAGGCTGGTTTCCAACTCCTGACCTCGAGCGATCCTCCCGCCTCAGCCTCCCAGAGAGCTGGGATGACAGGCGTGAGCCACCGCGCCTGGCCTATTTTTGTTTCTTTATTTTGTCTTGCTTTTTTGTTGTGATTTTTTGTTTTGTTTCTTTATTTTGTTTTGTTTTCTTTCTTTGTTTTGTTTTCTTTATTGTTTTGTTTTTTTATTTTGTTTCTTTGTTTTGTTGTGTCTTTTTGTTTTGTTTTCTTTGTTTTGTCTTGTTTTTTTAAGCTGTTCTTTAATTTCTTCCTTTACTTTTTTTTTTTTTTTTTTTTTTACTTTTTTTTTCTGAGGCAGAGTCTCGCTCTGTCGCCCCGGGCTAGACTGAGTGCCAGGGCGTCGGCCTCGCTCACAGCAGCCTCCAACTCCTGGCCTGAACAGATCCTCCTGCCTCGGCCTCCCTCCCCGAGGAGCTGGGACTACAGGCATGCGCCTCCACGCCCGGCTCATTTTTTTCTATATATTTTTAGTTTTCCGATTATTTTCTTTCTACTGTTAATATGGACGGGGTCTCGCTCTTGCTCAGGCTGGCCTCGACCTCCTGGCCTCGAGCAAGCCTCCCGCCTCGGCCTCCCAGAGTGCCGGGGTGACAGGCGTCGAATTCTCCGCTTTTCACGCCACTGCGCATGTCGGCCTCCCCCCTCCCAGGTGACCAGTACGCGCTGAAGATGAGGTTTGTGGACCACGTGTTTGACGAGCAAGTGATCGACTCCCTGACCGTCAAGATCATCCTGCCCGAAGGGGCCAAGTGAGTCAGCCCGCGCCGTCCCTCTGCCCCGTCGCCCTTTGCCGCCTGTGGCCACCTCCAGAGGAACCTCGATTCTGGGGGTCACAGGAGGCGCCCAAAACATGCCTCTGATTGAGAAGCCTGCAGGCCTGTCGTCGTCCCAGCGCTCTGGGAGGCCGAGGCGGGAGGATCGCTCGAGGTCAGGAGTTGGAGGCCGGCCTGAGCAAGAGCGAGACCCCGTCTCTACTAAAAACAGAAAGAAATTAATTGGCCAACTAATATATATAGAAAAAAAAACCGAGCCGGGCGTGGTGGCGCATGCCTGTAGTCCCAGCTACTCGGGAGGGAGGCTGAGGCGGGAGGCTCGCTCGAGGCCAGGAGTTGGAGGCCAGCCTGAGCAAGAGCGAGAACCTCGTCTCTACTAAAAAAATAGAAAGAAATTAATTACCAACTAATGTATATATAGAAAAAAAAAAACGAGCCGGGCGTGGAGGCGCACGCCTGTAGTCCCAGCTACTCGGGAGGGAGGCCGAGGCGGGAGGATGGCCAGAGGCCAGGAGTTGGGGGCTGCTGTGAGCGAGGCTGACGCCACGGCACTCACTCCAGCCCGGGCGACAGAGCGAGACTCAGTCTGAAAAAAAAAAACAAAAAGAAAATGAGAGAAGCCTGCAGGGACTTTTGTTTTTTATTTCTTTTTATTTCTTTCCTTTTTTGCAAAGTTTTTGGACTAAAAGAATTGCAGGGACTTTCGTTTTTCTTATTTTTTTTTATTTTTTGCAAAATAGTACTTGGAGTTGCTGTTCTTGCAGGGAATTTTTTTTTTTTGGAGACCGAGTCTCGCTGTGTCGCCCGGGCCAGAGAGCCGTGGCCTCAGCCTCGCTCACAGCAGCCTCCAATTCTGGCCTCCTGCCTCGGCCTCCCTCCCGAGCAGCTGGGACTCCAGGCGTGCGCCACCACGCCCGGCTCGTTTTTTTTTTTGTCTCCATATTTTTAGTCGTCCGGCTCATTTCTTCCTGTTTTTGTAGAAGAGACGGGGGTCTCGCCCTTGCTGAGGCTGCTTTCGAACTCCTGACCTCGAGCCATCGGTCCTCCTGCCCCGGCCTCCCAGAGTAGCTGGGACTGCAGGCGTCTTCTGGCTAGTTTTCTCTATATATTTTTTAGTTGTCCAGCTCATTTCTTTCTATTTTTATTAGTAGAGACGGGGTCTCGCTCTTGCTCTCAGGCCGGCCTCCAACTCCTGACCTCGTGCGATCCTCCCGCCTCGGCCTCCCAGAGTTAATTTATATATATATATATATATGTATATATATTTTTTTTAGTTGTTCAGCTGATTTCCTTCTACTTTTGTAGTAGAGAGTTAGAGACGTGGTCTGGCTCTTCCTCAGGCCGGCCTCCAACTCCTGGCCTCAGGCCATCGATCCTCCGGCCCCAGCCTCCCGGGTGGCTGGGAGGGACCCCAGGCGTTGAGCGGCCCCGTGGCCCGGGGCCACGAGCCTGTGTGTTTTCATCCTCATCTGCCTCCAGGAACATCCAGATCGACAGCCCCTACGACATCGTGCGAGCCCCGGACGAGCTGCACTACACCTACCTGGACACCTTCGGCCGCCCGGTCATCGTGGCCTACAAGAACAACCTGGTGGAGCAGCACATCCAGGACATCGTGGTGAGCGGGCCCCTCCCCGGCACCGCGGGGGGCTCGGGGCCTCGGCCGGGCCCAGGGGCGGTGAAACAGCCGGGGCGGGCCGGGGGGGCGGAGGCCACGGCTGTTTTTTCGCTCTCCGGGCGCTTCCCCTTGGGAAGGGGAGGGGGCCAGAGGAAGGGAAGGGGAAATCGCTCCGCCCGAGGTCAAAGAAGGGTGGGGAGCCCCAGCCCTGAGCCAAAGAGCCCGAGACCCCCCGTCTCTTACCTAAGAAACAAAAATAGAAAAGAAATGAAGCCCAAACAACTAAAAAAAAAAAATTATATTATATAATATATATAACCCAATAAACCCGAGCCGGCCGGTGGGGAGGGAAATGGCCGGCCCACGCTGTTAAAGTCCCCCAAGCTTTACTCGGAGGGAGGGGCTGACGGAAAGGGGGAATTCCACTTGCTCCGAGGTCCAGGGGGGAAGGTGGGGGAAGGCAGCCCCTGAGCAAGAAGCGAACCTCCTGGTCCCTACTAAAAATAGGGGATGAAATTAATAGCCCCCACTTGAAAAAAAAAACATAAATATTATATATATCACACACATATGTTAAAAAATGTACTTAAAAAATTAACTCTCAAAGAAGGCCGCGGAGGGGGAAGGGCCTCGCTTTCAAAGAGGTTCGGAAGGGGTTTTTTGGAAGGCCCCAAGCTGGGGAAAGCGAGCCGAAGAAAACCCCGGTTTCCTCCTACTATAAATTGAGAATTAATTGGCGAACAGAAAAAAGAGAGAGCCCCGGCTTCGGTGGGGCCTCACGCCTCGGTAATTCCCCTAGCCCCCCTCTCTTGGGAGCCCGAGGCGGGAGGAAATCCGCTCAGGGTCCAGGAAGGTTCAAAACCAGCCCCTGAGCAAGAAGCGGAGACCCCGTTTTCCTCCTACTTATAAATAGAAGAAATTTAATTGGCCCAACCTGATATAATATAGAAAAAAAAATTAGCCGGGGCACCCCAACAATGGTGGGGGCGGCATGCCTGCAAGTTCCCCCCAGGCCTTACCGGGAGG